TAGCCATCTGAATGTCGTCTTCGGTGAAGTGCCTGTTCATATCCTGTGCCCATTTTTCTATTGGATTCTTTACCTTTATCTTGTTATGGTGCTCATATTTCTATTTCTATAATTAGTGAGCCTATTGGTAAGAAGATGTGCTACAATCTCAAAGGCATGCAGTTCAAATCCACCAACTGCTCCATGGGAGAAGGATGGGCAATATCCTCCTATGTAATTAACTGCCTCTGAAAACCTGCTGAAGAGCCAACTATCAATCAGTTCTAATTCAATGGCATATAATAACAATAATATGTATATTATTGTTGCAGATTCAGTATGAAGGTGGCAGAGGCTGACCTCTGCCTGCTTCATAAAGGGGAAGTGTCCCCATCAATAATATCCAGAGTACCATACAAATAGCTCCATGGTCAGATATGCCACCCCTCAGGCTCGTGCACCTACTTCTATGAATCATTGGATCCAATGTTCATTGCAACTTGACTCACACATTTTACTCATGTTTTAACTTGACTCTATTTGACTCAGCATTTTAACTTGACACTATTTATCAACTTGACTCACAAACTTTACTACTCATTATTAGGGAAATAGACAAGGGAATCGGGGAGGCAAAGAATACCACACAATGTAAGTCCAGGTTTAGTCTAGCAGTCTCAGACCAGATTAACAAAACACCATTCCTCAAGTAGTGAAAGTCCAGGCTCAGTTCAGCAACACAAATGCAAGAAGCCTCTAGTTTCCTCAGTCATTCAGCAAGCAAACTTTATCTTAGAGCAGTTATAAGACAGCTTTTCTTTCAATCATCCAGCAAGCAAAATCTTTAACTGTGGTTCCATCTCCAGGATTCCTCTGGTTATACATTGCCAGTCTCTTCATAACAGTGCCAGTCACTTCACCTTCTCTGCACCACTGTTTTTCAGTGTGGAAAGTGCTCTCTTATATTGGTCCTACAGCTGTCAATGATTTGCAAGACCATGAGTTTGCTGTTAAGGTAGCTGGAGACCATATGACCAGCAGGGGCTGACACAGTGCAGAGTAAAGCCAATTTTTAAAATAATTCACTGATACCACATATACATATTAGAAAAGGAAGCTGTGTTGGCCTAGTCTATAGCGTTACTAACCCTCTCTGGCAGTTCAAATCCACCAGTGGCTCCATAGGATACAGATAGGCAATCTCAATCTCCTCTCATCAGATTCACAGCCTCAGAAACTCACTGGAAGGTCAGCTGAGTCAGTTCTGACTTAATGGCAATTACTGAGTGACACTGGAAAAAAACAATAAGCAGTAGCAAGTCAAATTCGTTCACCAGTGTTGTTGTTGTTTACCACTGAGTTGAAACCAACCCACAGCTTACCCTCCGATGGGTTTTCAGAGGCAGTTAATCACACAGGAGGGAGACTGCCCATCCTTCTCCCACAGAGCAGATGCTGGCCTCAAACCACAAGCCTTTGGGATTGCAGCGCAGCTTCTTGCCACTAGGCCACCAGATATTATCACCGATATTATTGTTTCACTAAAACTGAGCTCACTGCAATCAGGTTGATCAATCTGCCTTATCACAGCCCTGCAGAAGAGAGTAGCACTATTCTACTGGTTTCAAGTGTCCACAGAAGCAGACTGCCTCATCTTTTCCCCACAGGGCAGCTAGCAGGTTTGAATCTCTGACCTTTTGGTTAGTAGTCAGATGCATTTGCCACAGCACCACCACTAAAGTGCCTTTAACATTGATTAAGCAAAAAAGATAAGTCAAGCTCAAGAAAAGTATTACATCAAATGGAGAGAGTAGAAGAGAAATGGCTACGATTTGTGATCACTGGCCATGGGCAGTCTTTGGTGCTGGGGTGTGTTGAATGGTCTCCAAGGAGCTCAGCATCTCCTAATGACCGCTGTTCCTCTCCTCATGACCCAGGCTATGCAGTGCTTCATCACCAGACTAACCTTCCGGGACCCCAGCTGTGAGGCTCAAGACAGCCCGAATGAGTTTGTTCTGCACAGCACTTTCTCCACGTGTGGCACAAAAAAGACGGAAAACATGATCAGCAATGAGGTAAGAGCTGGACCAGTGACTCCCTCTGGGAGCCTCCCTGACCCTCCAGGCTCAGAGGGAACACAGGCAAGTTTAGTCCATTACTTGGTTCCGTTTCCCCATTTATCAAATATGTGCATTGAGTGGGATGCCCAGTGGGGTCTCTGTTGGTTCTGATCACCCCTTGGCTCTGTCCTTGCAGGTGATCATCAACTTCCCGGCAAACTTATCACCACCAGAGAGGGTAAGATGGGCAGTTGGTGTGCTGTCTGCCTAGTCCAGGGTCTCTTAGCTGGGCTGGGGTCCTTTCCCAGTGTGGGAGGGAGCAGACCTCAGGAAACCTCATGCCCTGATCCTGACAAACCATGTGTCTCTGGCATGCCTCAGTCTCCCCTTCTGCACAATGGGAGCAGTACTGCTTAACATGGCATTCTTAGCCTCAAGTCAGAGCAGAGCACTCTAGCACATACTGGATGTGTGGTCTTAGGCTAATTGTTTAAGCTTTCTGAACCCAAATGTCTGTAAAAAATGGCCTAAGAAAGGACTCCACTCCATGAGGTCACATATAAACAGTCATTGAGATGAAGCCTGAAAAGCAGTTTATGCAGACCTGATATAGAGTGCAATCTGGCAAATATTCATGTACAAAGAAGAAAGATAAATTTGAGGGTGAAGCATCTGCTATGGTCCCTTCCAGACTTACCGAGTGTCCTTCCCACCCTCCAACCCCCCCAGAAAGAGGTGCACTGCATCAATATGGACAGCGTCTCCATCCAGCTGGGCTTCTACCTCAGCCAGCACTTTCAGCAGGCCTCCAATACCATCGAGCTGGGCCAGCAGGGCTTTGTTCAGGTACTGGATTCACCTCATCACTGCTTCAGGCCCACCAGCTCCTGGAATTTCTCCTGGGCCTTTCCCACCTTCACCTCCCCACCCCCACTATTAGTACAGGGAAGATGAGAATCGGGCTTCCACCAGAAAGGGCCTCTGGTGGTCTAGTGGATAAGGACTTGCACTGCCAACCCAAAGGAGGCTGAATCCACCAGCTGCTCTGCAGGAGGAAGGTGGGAAGTCTCCTGCGTGATTTACAGTCTCTGAAAATCTGCTGGAGGGTCCTCTATGTGTCAGCTCCCACTTAACAGCAACTCACTTGAGTTGTTGTTGTTGTCGTAATAGGCAGGAAGGAGCCAGGATGAAGGATGGAGGGAGGACGGGCAGAGGCCATGCATAATAATAATGGATATCATTTCTGTCTGCTCCACACCGGATCTTCCACCATTAGGCCTTGGGGGCAGGAACTCATTCTAACTTATTTCATGAGTTGGTGGAGTGTTAAGAGGAATTGACTGCCTCTTCTTCTCACCTACCCCTACAGGTGACCATGTCCCTGTCCTCTACGATTGAGCACCACATAAACAGCTGCTCCTTGGATTTAGGACCTGAGGCAAACGTCATGGAACTCATCCATAACAACACACCCAAGGGCAGCTGTGTAAGCCTGCTGCCCTTAGGCCCTAATAAAGACCCTCGGTTTAGCTTCCTCCTCCGTGGCTACATCGTGCCCACACCCACGGCTGGCATTCTCAGATGCACCATAGACCTTCGTCATGAAACCTGGTCCCAGGTGAGTGAGGCCTGGGTCAGAGGCTCCAAGCTGAAGTTTCAGAGACAGGATTCAAACCCTAAGTGGGCTGTGGCAAGCCAGGGCCCAACGCCGCTGAGACCAGAGGCTCCCTCCCAAAGGCGGTGCCACATACCAAACTCCTTCTTCCTCCCCAGAAAGTCCAGAAGGTCGCTGTCATGCACCTGAACATCATCAGCCCTGGGCTGACTGGTAAGCTCCCTCTAGGCTTCTTTTAGCTCCCTCTGAGTGGTGGAAGCCAGATGGTGGGGTGATGCATTGGAGAGCTGTAGGGGAAGGACCATAGAGAAGGCAGCCTTGGGAGGAGAGATGGGGAAAGGCTCCACCAGACCCCCAGCGGCCTAAACTAGGATCCCCAGCTGCATCTTTCAGATGGAGACTGTGCGCATGAGAGGCTTCAGGACTGGATCCCATGCCTTTGGCTCTCCAGTGCTCTTCCAGATTCCAAGGGTCTGCTGGGGGCATGATTCTTCCTGGAGGCAGATATCTTGGAGGGGGCAGGAGGCTCTTTGGAGTGTAGAGTGTACCCTTTGTTCAGCTCCCCCTTGGCATTGGCTGACTAGGCAGGAAGACTCCCTAAACACTAGGAGCAGAGTTAGAGACCCCCATTTCTTTGCCCATTCAGGCAAGGATAGAGGCCCACCTCCAGCTCAGGAGAACAGAGCAGGGCTGATAGCCCCACTGTGTAGAAGAGAGGGAACTTAGAGGCCCCAGAAAAGGCTGGCTGGCCATCACACAGGAGGCTGGAGTATAGGAGCAATGGAGCTTCAAGCAACCCAAAGGCAGAGCTGAAGAGCCCAGAGGGGGGCAGGTACTGACCTAAGATCACATAGCAGCACCAGGCAAGCATGAGAATCTCAGGCTTCACTGCCTTTGCCATCATTAGATCCTCTGTCCTCCCTGGAAGAATTCCATCAGCCTTGGGAGGCAGAGACAGGACGACAAAGGCCTGGCGAGCCCTCCAGGTCTGTGGTCATAGCAACTGTAGCTCAGAGCTCGGCGTGGGCATGATGAGCACAGGTGCTGGATGAAGAGACAGGCTTGGAGAAACCATTGTGAGGAACTGAGCCGTGGCTGCCACCAACGCCCCTGGTTCTTGGCCAGCAAAATAGCTGACCCCAACTGTCCCCTCCTTGGTTACAGACAGAGGCCTTGTCCTGCCTGCTGTACTGGGCATCACCTTTGGTGCCTTCCTCATTGGGGCTCTGCTCACCGCTGCACTCTGGTATATCTACTCCCACACACGTGAGTATCCCACAGTGAGCACTCAGGACCCCCCATCCTGGGGCGAGGGGGCCCTGGTGAAGCCCCTGTGGGAATGGGGAGCTCTGGCTAAGACCTTGACTTCAATCTCCGACCTGTCTCCCCAGGGACTCCCAGCAAACGGGAGCCTGTGGTGGCAGTGGCAGCCCCTGGATCCTCGGAGAGCAGCAGCACCAACCACAGCATCGGGAGCACCCAGAGCACCCCCTGCTCCACCAGCAGCATGGCATAGCAGCTGACCTGGACCCTGGGGGCCCCCACATGGCCCTCACCCAGCAGGAGAGACTGAGCAGCCACTAGCTGGGAACCACTGGCCAAGGACCCATCTTGGGACCCAGGCCCTCCCACTTAACCAAGGATGGACCATGCTCACTGCACCTGCTCTTCCTGCCCCCCTTAGACGCCTGCTGCCTGTGAGGGCACCTGCTTGGAGGACCTTGGGGTCCCCTAACCCCATGCTACCTTACAGAATCTTCAAACCCAGTGGGCCTGGGGTCTGGTTGCCCATGATTCTGGGGAGTTCACTGCCCTGTATGTCCACAATGTTTTAAGACCTGAGTTCCTGTTCTTTGAACCTGGATCCAGCATTCACTGGCGTGGGCTGCGTAGGTGATGAGAACTGGAACCAGACTCAGCCCAGCCCACCCAGGCTGACAGCACCTGCTCCACAGGAGTGGGGCTGTCCATCATGGAGCCACGTGTCCCTGGTGCCAGCAGCCTCCACACCTGCAGAGACAGCTCAGCAGAGGACGCAGATGCCTAGATCCCCCAGCCTAGGAGTCCAGACAGTGGCAGTAGGGAAGGCCTTAATTTCTCTCTGCAACTAACTGCTACACTGAGACCCCTCTACGGCCACCAGGTGGGCAGCAGATGGGGAGTGGCCAAGCTGCCTGCCCAGGACCCACCCTGTGTACTCACCACCAATAAATCAGACCATGAACCAGCGCTGGGCTGGGTGAAGTAGGGAGAGTCTGGCGTAGGATGTATATGTGGGCGAGTACAGGAGGCTGGACACAGAATGGGCTGTTCTTGTCCTTAGTCCCCCATGGGCTGGCCTGGTGATGGGTAGGGCATCTTCAGGTTAAACAGTAGCAGGAGATCAGGCTTGGACTAAAACCAGGCCCTCCTCTGCCACTGGCTCACTTGGATGTAAATCTGTCTGACTGCGCTGTGAGAAACCCAGGAGGCCCTGCTGACATGCTGGCTCCACTGACATTCTGTTGTGAACACAGGCTTTCAACAGCTCACAATTCAGATCCTAAACCTGCCACTGTGGGCAAGTCCCAGGGTCACTCAGTCACAAGGCCTCTGTGAAGTCCACAGAGCACTAGGTCAATGAATATTATCTGTGGTCTCATTTCATAGACAGGCCAACTGAGGCTGAGAGAGAAGAGACTTGTCCTAGGCCACTCAATCAGTCTCCAACACAACCTGCTGGCTGTAGCCCCATCTTTCTTATCTACTGAGGTCAAGAAAAATCACAAGTCCCACCATTTCTTTTAAAAAAAAAGTTTTAATTTACTGCAGCAATCCTCTGTTCCCAGGGAGCCCCCGGGCAGGGGTCCTCTACTTTCCCAGAAGGCACTGGAAGGAGGAAATCCATCACCGGCACCCGGTGGGACCCTAGGCCTGGCCAGGCAGCTCACACAATGCACTGGGCCCGAGCCAGGAGGCAGCGAGGTGTGGGGGAGACGAAGTGTTGGGGGAGCCGGGCTGGACTCCCAGACCTGCGACAATAGTCAAGAACCAGGAGGTCCCCTGGCTGCTGAGATATTTGGGAGAGAAGCCAAGGCACAGGAGGGGCAATGAAGTCAAAGATGCCCTAAGCTCAGAGACAGAGAGTGTCCTCTTCAACCTCCCCTTCTCTGGTCCCCTCTGCCCAGTGCCCAGGTCTGTGGGCCGGCGTGGACAGACCAGGCAAGCAGCGAAAGAAAGGCACCTAGTACAGGAGTTCACAGAACACAGGGTGGGCACAAGAAGGTCCCACTTCCAACCCAACGCCACAGCTACTGAGACAGCGAGGGGTCAAGCAGTTTCAGGACGCCGCCCACCAGGTGCAGGCTGCCGGTGACCAGCACGTGGACAGCAGCAGCCTCCCGCAGCACGCTGGCTCCGCTGTCTGCCACAGGGTGGGTGAGGAGGCCCCGTGAAGGGCTAGGGGACTGGAAGATGGGGTCCCGGCCTTGGCTGATCCACTGTAAGGCGTGGGAGATGCAGCTGAATATGAGGGAGCTGGTGCTGTGGGGGTGGGGTGGGTGGGGTGCCGGAAGCAGGGATGGGGAGCCACTAGGTTCCAGACCAGGGGGCCTCCACAGGGCCTGGCTGGCCTGCTCCTCAGCCAGGCGGCTCCAGTGCTGCTGGTGTTCAAAGGAGCGCAGCAGCACTTGGTCCAGTGTCACCATGAAGTTCTGCTGGTCTGTGGGCACAGCAATGGGCACACTGGTGAGAACAGGTGCAGGGCTGAGGACCAGGAGCACCTGCTCAGTGCCCGGCCCTTTACAGGCCTCCCCAACAGACCCCTCACTCCGTGCTGCCCAGTCGGTGGCACTCTCAGCAGACCCTCCGTCCGGTTCCCCAGCTGCCAATGGTGATGGGAGAAACCTGCACACCTTTCTCTCTGGATTAGCAGCTCAACTTGCTGTTGACTAGGTCACCAGATCTCCCTGACAGACTCTTCATTTTTTGGTGTTGTCTAGTTGAATACAACTTACAGTAACCCTATGAACAGACAACCTGAACCCTGTATCCTGTGCCATCCTCGCCATCTCTGAAACATTTAGCCCACTGCTGCAGTCACCACGTCAATCCATCTCAATGGGAGTCTTCCTCCCTTTGATCCACCATCCTTCCAAGCATGACATCTGAGGCTAAGAAAGTTTCAATGACTTGCCCAAGGTCACAGAGCTGGGGAGAGGCAGAGGTAGGCAATCTAGCCCCAAAGATGGGCTTTTGCCCACTGACCACCACTTCCCCAGGCTCACTGCCTTCATCTGTACAATGGACAACTAGCTGAGTCCACTCCCTAGACTAGCTGGGTCTAACATCTCTGGGGAAGCTGGCTGAAAATGCTCATTTCTGGACTCCATCCAGTGTGAAGGATGATCTGAGGATCTGCACTACTGGCCACAATCCACAGCAAAAAAACACACTTCAGAGTCTACACGTAAGTCTCCTCAGGGTCACAAGAGACAATGGTTATGAGAGTGCCTTGTGAAGAGATGCTACAAAAATGTTACATCGCAGCCCAGTCCACTAGGGAGCTCTGGTGGCCTAATGGTAAGAAGCTGCTCTGCAATGCCAAAGACTCATGGTTGGAATCTACCAGCTGCTCCATGGGAGAAGGATGGGCAATCTCCTCCCGTGCAATTCACTGTCTCTGAAAACTCGCTCAAGGGTCACTATGGGTTGGTTCTGACTTGACAGCACACAACAACAACAACAACAACAACAACATATAGTCCACTAGACTTCCAGTGCTTCTCTCAGCAACAGCCCCCAACAGTGCAGTCCACCTTCGGGCCCTCACCTGTCTACCTGTGTCCACCTCGCCTTGTGGCCTGTCACCTCACCTGCATTGCCTGTGGATGACACTTCTGTCAGGTTGGGGCAGAAGACAGCATAATCAAACTGGCAGGGCTGGAAGGACAAGGGAGTGGGTGTGGTGTTAGAGGTCAGAAAGGATCCCCCCAACCTTAACTTCCCATCTCTGGAGATACCCTTCAGCCAAGTCCCGGCTGCAATGCATAAACCTGCATGCCAACCACACCTTAATCCACTTCAATACACCTGGTCTGCTTTCTGGTTTGGACTACCAAGACATAGCCCACTCTACAGAAGGGGAAACTGAGATTTGGACGTGGGAGACTTGCTCCCTCAGTGATCAGCCCCCAAATCCAGGCTGGAGAGGCTTTGCCTGAACAAATGGGACATAAAGATGAGCCTCAACCTTCCTGTCCGTGAAGAGTAAAGAACCAGGGGTCCCTACGAGTCACTTCAGGGACAGCAGAGGACAGCCTCTGTTTCTCCAAGCAGGAAGGGCTTTCACCTTTATAACCCAGTGACTCTTCAAACCTAACTTGAGAAGCAGGTACCCTTAGTAACACCATTTTACGGAGAGGCAAACTGAGGCTCAGGAAAGGGACACCTTTGCCCAGGATCATAATGGTTAGCCTTTCCACACATTGGGTGCTTCTTCATTTAATCCTCAGTTCAAAACACAGGAGGGAGGAATGACCTCACCTTAAAGCTGAGAAAAATGAAGCTCAAGAAGAAGGTATTAGCTGTGTCAAACTATCCATATCTCCAGGCGAGCCCCCCTCACCTGCAGTAGCTTCAGCAGGGCTGCCCAGTCCCGGTCACCAGTAGCATTGAAAAGCAGGACACGCACTTCAGGCCCACTGTGGAAGAAGGGGAAGGGTCAAAAGGTAATGATTCATGTCCCTTTCTACCTGCCCTTTTTTGTGAGTTCCCACTCCAGTCTTTGCCTGAAATTCCCTCCGCTGGGGGCCAGTCCCACCTCTATCCCCAAGACATTGTCTCCATCCCTGTCTCTGCCCAACACTAACTTGCTTGACTTTTCACGAGTCTTCAGCGCCTGGCTGAACCAGCGCACACAGGCCTGTATGCTGCTGGCAGTGTGTGCACCATCCAGGTACCAGGTGAGTGGCCCACGCTGTAGAACCTGGGTTCTGCCTGGCCACTTTGTGTCCTGAAGTCCTAGGGGCAGAGGGGAGGTGAGGCAGCCCTCCAGCCACCACCACAAAAATGCCTTTCCCTGTCTACTCCCATCCCTGCCCCTAACTGGAATACAACCCAGAGCAGGCTCTCCCTGCCCACAGCACTCCACAACCCAAGGATGCCCCTTCTCTGGGGATCTGGTCATTACATAAGCCTCTTGCTGGGTACTAGTCAGCTCTCTGGTTGCCTTACCCGGTGGAATCTTCTAGCAACCAGGATTGCTACCATCTGCTATTCTTGGCTTATAGCGGAGGGACCCTTAGCTCTGAGAGGCTAGGTCACAGAACAAGTGAGTCGTGCCTCGAGGGTAGGATCTGATCTGCCTAGTTCCAGAACACTATAGCAATCCTGACAGGGGCCTGGCACACTGTGGGCACACTAGAACCATTTGCTGAAGGGACTTAATGGTTACAGGTCCCCATTAAGTGTCAAAAGCTTTGGAGATAAAGTGACAATGTTGTCATTCTGAAGACCCACATGGTCTTATGATGATGACAATAACAGCTTGTCCCTCAGGCCTGGGCTCAGCACCTCAGCCACACCACCTTCTGACATCCTCACAATAACCCCATGCAGTGGGGTCTATCTTTCTTTTGGATCAGGAACAATTCCCGATAACTTTAGGGATCTCTTAAGACACCAGTGCAAACTGATCTACCTCCCAAGCAGGAAACACCTGACCAGGTGAGAGGATGCTTACGCACCATGCCGCATATGGGAGGTAGGCTGGAACACGGGTGCCAGGGGCAGAGACCTCCGGAGGCTCAACCTGGATGCCTTCAGCTCCCCAATGCCTGTGGTGATTGGAAAGTGAGATGGGGTGTGCTCAGCACCCTGGTGGACTGGGGGCCCCTGCCCTGCTCACATACCCAGGTGGTTCTGACGCTGCAACCAGCACCGGGCTAGTTGCAGGGCGAGGGCAGCGTTAGACCGCTGGTGCTCCCCCTCCAGGCCCAGGGTCAGTGGCGGTCCCCCTTCCTCTAGGACTTCCAGTGGTGGGCACAGGTAGAGAGGACACTGCATGGGAGACAGAAAGCAAGAGGTCAGGGGAGCTACACTGCCACCTTGGCCAGGAGGCCCTCTTTCACCGACCAGAATGCACCAAGTCCCAGCTCCCAGAGACAAGATTTGTTTCAGCTGCACAAACAGCTGGCCCAGGTACCTCACCACAGTTGAGCAAACTGTGGCTAGAAAGAATAAGCTGCCTCCCCGTAGGGGGTCCTGTTTATTAGACTCACAGCAATCTGCTGGGCGCGCTCCCTCAGCACCGCCAGGGGCCCATCAGGCTGAAGCACGGTAAAGGCAGGGACACCACACTGTGGGGGTCAGGAACGGTGTGAGACAGGCAAGGCCACCACTCTCCCACTCCTGGGCCTGTATCCTGGGTCTGGGCTGTCCACTTAGCCTCCCCTACCCCAAAGAACTATGCAAACCCTTCGTCCTTCAAGTTGCAGTGGGGAAGACAGAAGCCACAAGGACCCCCAGCTTACTTGAGTCACCCTGTTGATGCCTAGGACAGCATACTCAGTCAGGACTCAAATGGCTTCTCCCAGCCCTGTTTCCCTGAGCCTAAGGGCAGGCCCAGGCCTTCCATGTACCTCTCCTTGCCCCAGGCTGACTGGTCACCTTAAAGATTCCCCCTTTCTGCCATGCAATTTTCTCCACTGTGTCCCCGAGAAGGCTGGTGTGGTCAATGCCAAGAGAAGAGACCCCACACACGACAGGCTTTCTGTGGAAGACAAGAGGGCTGACAATGACATGAGCTGCCTGCCAATGGGCGAGGTACCCAACTCCTCACCCCAAGTAGTTGTCCTCACCTGATGATGTTAGTGCAGTCATAAGCCCCGCCAATGCCCACTTCCAACAATGCCAGGTCCACCTGCAGAGAACCAGAGGGCAAAGGGTAGCGAAGTGCCATGCAGACACAGGGAGCCCCCTAACCTGATGAAACTGCCCTTCCCAAGGCCTCAAATACCAACTTCTGAGCAGGAGGCACGCACCTTCTCCTGGAGGAAGACGTGGAAAGCCATGAGGGTCAGGAAGCGGAAGTAGGCAGGCATGGAGACACAGCTGTCATCCTGTGGCAGAGGAACATGTCAGGGTCTGGAGCCCCATCGCCCCTCTTCTGGGGACAGAGGGTCCCTGACATGCAGTGGCCTTCAGACCGATCCATCCACTTCCCACCCTGTCCACCCTCAGTCTACCAGGATGGGGCACCTTTGTCTCCTCCAAACGGTGGTAAAGGTGCCAGAAGTGTTTGGTGAAGAGCTCAGGACTGATGGGCTGCCCATTGATGCGGATCCGCTCACGCACCTGCACCAGGTGGGGAGAGCTGCCGGGAGATCTGGGGTCATGAGGACACCCTTCCCAAGCCTCCTAGGGCCTTCCCCCACCTCCAAGTCAGACTTGTCTTTCAGAAACATAAAGCTGACCTGTCACTCTTCCACTAGAGCCTTGTCACTTGCAGGAGAGTCCCTGATGCCACCAATCTCTGTGCCCCATCTTTCCCATGTCCCTCAGCCAGTGTTCAGAGCTTCCCTCCACCTGGTTTATTTTTAGATCCTCCAGCTCCCATTCCCCTTTCTATCTCCAGACCTTTGTACCTACTTCATCTGGCTCACTTCGAATCACCTACAGCTTTGGCCCTTCCTCCAGAACACGCGCCCTTCCCCAAGCCAGCCAGGGTTCCATTATCATCCCACCCTCAAGTGCTGCCTCTCCATCACACACTAATCAATCATCTGTTAACATCTGTACCCACAATGCCTGCCTTTCAGCCTCGAGGGCAGGGTCACAACTGCTGGGCTCAGGCTGCATTCTTTAGCTGGGTCACAGGGGCCTACGGTGAAGGTTAGGGTTTTTATGCAAAAGACTAAGAGAGAGGTGGATGCCTTAGAGTTGAGTCCTTCTCTTCAGGTCTTTATTTTAAATAAAGAACTCCCTGGGAAACACATGTTGACCTTAAATGTTGGAGATGCTCATGGAGCTCATCTGACGGAAATGATCAAAAGAGGTAAATCTTAACTGTCTCAATCCCAAGGAACAAATGGCTCTATTAATAACAGGCTAGAGAGAAGCCTGCATGACACAGGGAAGAGGGACCTGTGTTCCACCTCTAATCTCTACTCTGAGTCTGGATGTGACCAAGAGGATGGGCGGCCTTGAGGCCAAGCTGCAGCTAAGGCTAGCCACGGGGATGGCCTCCCTGCTGCCCTCTGCCAACTGACCTGTCATGGATGGCAAAACTAACCCAACTGCCACTGAGTCAGTCCTAACTCACAGCGACCCTGTAGAACTGTGCTCTGAAGCATCTCAGTGGCTCACTTTGCAGATTGCAAAAGCAGATTGCCAGGCCTTTCTTCCAAGGTACATGTGAGTAGAATCCAACCTCCAACCTTTCCTTTAGTGGCCAAGTATATTAACCACTTGTTCCACCAGAAGACTCCAAGAACATCATAGACTACCTTTATCATTAGCTTAAACTAGTTTTTCTGCTCCTTTTCTCAAAGACATGAATAAATGTTAATATCTATGTAATTTAAAATTTATAAAATTTAAGTTAAAAAGCTGTATCTTTTGTTTATAATAGTCAAGTTGCCTCCCACATCCAAAATCTTTTCATTATGATAGTTAAAGACGGCGTTATACTTGAATCAATAATGTAAGTGCTAATTAGATGTTTATTAGATGAGTAAGTGATGGGCAGAGAGACATGCAGCTGAGCTCCCAAGGTGAGCCTGGTCCCAGATGCTGGCTACTCCCACAGGCTCCCAGAGGCTAGGAGACACCTACCATCCCATCCCCCAACCACAGTACCTAAAGAAGCCTGTCTTCAGACCATAGCTGCGGAGGATCCGCTCAGTGAAGGCACATGTGGAACCCTACAGAGAAAAGAAAATGTATTCTTTGAGCAGGCCTCACCCCATCAAGCCACTAAAGGGACACCCTACCCCAAGTCCTGCCCCTCACCTTCCCCTTGGTCCCAGTGACATGGATGATGTTCAGCTTGTCCAAGTCCTCCACCTGGGACAGAAAAATAAAATCCCCACCTTAGCCACAGGGCTGACAGAGGTGGAAAGGTAGGGGTCACAGGCCCCGATTATACCAGCCCTGCTTACCTGTAGCCCGCTCCTCACCAGGTACATAACCATGGTTTCCAGCTGTGTCTGGGGGTCACCTCGCTGGCGCTTCACCTCCTCCAGGTAACCAGCATTGGTCTGCAGGGTGTTGAGCGTGCGCACAGCATCCTGCCAACCACAGTTTCCAGGAGGCAGGTTAAGGCTCGCTAAACTCAAACAAACCTAAACTCACTGCCACTGAGTTAATTCTGACGCGTGTTTCCCAGGCTTTCAATCTTAATAGCAGGAGACTTAACTATCTTTTGCCCTCAGAGAGAGTAGTGGATTCGAACCACAAAGTAAACTATGGACTACTCTACCAGAGTTCCTTAAGACTTGCCATCTTTGTTGTTGTTAGGTGCCTTTGAGTTATCGCGACTCATAGTGACTCTATGAACAACAGACCTGAACCTTGCCCTATCCTGTGCCATTCTCACCATCTACAATACACTTGAGCCCACTGTTATAATCACTGTGTCAATTCATCTTTCTCCTGAGGAGCTGACAGGAGATATGAACCTCAGGGGGGATAGATCAGCGCTATAATTCACTATGGATGACATCACTGGGGTTCAAAGCAAAAAAGTCAATGTCATTGCTGTAGACTTGGAACTGATTCATTGCTAATCCTCTAGCAGGCTCCCAAGACTATAAATCCCACAGGAAGGGAATGCCTGTCTTTCTCCCAAAGAACCTCAGGTGGATTTGAACCACCAGAGACTTGGAGAGACTTGGTCTTCACGGTGCAAATCCTTAAGCGCTATTCCACCAGAGCTCCACTGGGAATACAATCTACCTGAACCAAGCGATCTGCCAAGTCAACCCTATTGCATCAGTTAGGCAAGAGGACAGAAATGGCATCTTTCCAGCTCTGGCAGAAATGGGAGCCTGGGGCAGCTCAGCCCCACCCAGGGAATGCCAAGCAAAGCAAGCAAGCGGCATGGTATGGCATAAGGCTTCCTTCTAGTCCATGCTCCTTCAACTTCACACCTGCACACATCCCTTCATCCCTCCAAAGGGGTCCATCACTGTACTGGGCACCTACTAGGGTGGGGGCTGAATGCAGAAGATGGGTATGTGTGGGTTCTGGAATTTCTGGCAGTGTTCAAACCCAATCCTACGGGGATCCAGATTCAGACTCTGTGGAGAACCCACCCAGTGGGGAAGAGAAAAGGGCTCAGAGGCAGGGAGGGTGTGCCCGGGTCCAACCAGCCAGGATGGGCGGTGGGTATGAGTGAGGTGGGTCCCCACTGCAGTCAGGGGTGGAGGTACTGTTTATTTCCCCTCAGGTCTCAGCTGTAGTGTCTCCCGTCCTTGTCCTTGGGACTTCAATGGCTAGCAGATGCCAACTCCTCTGGACCCCCCACTAGCACTAGCCTATGATAGATTCTCATTGCCAAAGGGTTCTCAGACTCCTAACTGACCCTCTAGCGAGTTTCCCAAGGATGTAGACTGCAGGGGAGGAGAGTGTCCATTTCTCTTCCTTGTAGCAGCTGGTGGATTGGAAAGGCCTAAAAGGTATAGTCTCCGGGTGAGCAGGGCAACTCCCTACACACAGGGCCACAAGAGCTCCCTGCTGGCAGAAAAGACTACAGATATTCTGAGCTTGGGGCTCCCCCAAACCACAGATTCTTGTCTGACCCGCTTCAAAGCACTTGGATCCCTGTTGCTAGGTGCGGTCACGTTGACTAAAATTCATAACAACCCTAGGAAAACCGATCCTTAATCCTCTGAATCCCAGAAGACTCCGCCCCCAGAATCACACACCTGAATCTCTGCCTCTCCACTCCCCTCATCTCACCTCGCATAGCAAGTTCAGACTCTAGGGTCTGCAGAACTCCAGGACCCCAGTTGAGCCCTGGGGCCACCGCAGGGTAGTCCTATCATGGGATTCTCCATCCCACCCTCTAAAGCCAGACATACAGCACTGGAATTCCCACATCCTGGGCCCAGGCCTAATTTCCTAATCCTTATCTCCACTCCGAGCCTCCAGGACGTCCCCGCCCCTCAAATCCCTTAAGTCTCAAACTCCTAGTTTCCCTCCCCCCTTTAACTAACTAGTGCAACCCGGATGCTAAGAGACCCAGGCCCGGCCCACGTGTCCTGGAATGACCGCCCGCCGAGCCAGCCAGAGACCTGATACTCCATGCCGGGCTCCTGTGGCGCTAGCCGCGCGCTTAACCCGCGCCGCGCCCCGAGCCGGGTTGTCGCCCCGCGTGCAGAGACCGCTGCCAGGAACAGGGCCGGGCGCAGGTGGCCCCGAGCCCGCGACATAGTCCCCGCACACAAGAGGGCACGCTAGGCCGGCCCGAAGACGACCCGCCCCGTTGACTACGCACCCCGCGCCTTCGACCAATCAGCGCGTCCTAAATCCTCCATCCCTCCCGCCCCTCCACGCCACAGCAATAAGAAGCCAGCGCGCGCCTTCCGTGACGCCATGCTTGTGCGGGGCGGGGCGCCGAGCCACCCGGAGGCGCTTACATGTTTGTGAGGGGCACGCTCGCAGTGCGACTTTTCCCTTAGCTTGCACTATCCTCCCAAGGATCTGATTGCACTCCATAAAATAACCGATCCCAGTCAGCAGTCCTCAGCCTGTACTCCAGCCAGAATAAGCTCCAAGAATACTCAGGCAAACCCGACCTAATATCTTGAAATCAACGAATCCTGGCCCGGAGATATCAGGACCAAACAGAGAAGATCTGACAATCTGATTGCACCTGTGCAGTAGTGTCCTGTCTCCCTGGGAAGGCTTCCTGGAAGAAGTAACGTTCTGACTAAAGCCTGCAGAATGGGAGGACGGCCTACCTGAGTGTTTGGAGTTTTCACAACTTAAGTGTCTTTGACCTTCTTGGCTCCCACTACTACGCTGAAAAAAGTAACATGCTTCTGTTTTAACAGATGAAGAAACCTATGCCCGCAAAAGGCAGGCGCTTCAAAGGTCTGATGGAATTTGAGTACTTCACTCCTCCCTTGTATCTTTTCTTCTGGCACTGAGTGTAAACCAGAGATAGCTTGATACTGAAATAAAGAATTGGGAAGATCCCATCATTGTTTGATTTTTTTTTTTTTTCTGCTGCTGAAGTTTCACCACATCTCAAAAAAGTATTCATGTTACCACAGATTCATTGTTGTTGTTATGTGTCATTGAGTCGACTAAGACTCATAGCGACCCTATGAATAATAGCTCTGAACCCTGTCCTATCTTGAGCCAATCTCACTGTCTGTGACACTCCTGCCCCCCTTTCCGCAATCCATCTCATCTCAGGGTCTTCCTCTCCTGTGCTGACCCATCCTTCACCCTTCCAAGCATGATATCCTTCTCCAAGGACTGGCGTAAATAAGCACAATTAAGACTGTGCTTACCTAGCTTACTGAGTACTTCATCCCTATCTGAGCACATATAAGAAGAATTTGGTTCTGCATGAAGGAGGATGGGTTAGGAGAAAGATGCCAGCCATATCTAGAAGCAAAATCTTTGATATGGTAAAAAAAAGGGAAATTGTTCACCTCACATTAGTAAGTAAACATAAGAAAGCCTGGGATTGCCTTGCATATTAGGTAATCTGCACCTGCAAGAATCCCTTTAAGACATGTAAGGAACTCCTAATGGCACAGTGGATTAGAGTGAGCTGCTACCTGAAAGTTAATTCAAACCCACTAACTACTCTATGAGAGAAAGACGTAGCAGTTCTGCTTCAGGAAACATTACAGCCTAGGAAACCATATGGGGCACTTCTACTTTTTTCTGTAGGGTCACTATGAGGCAGAGTGGACTCAGGGCAATGAGTTGAAGACATTTACTAACAAAAGTTTAAGTATTTCTTGAGGCCACTGTTCTAAAGACTACCTAGAGTAGCTCATTTAATCTTCACAACAAAGCTAAGAAACAGAAGTTAGACCCTCAGGCACAAAGGAGTAAAGGCTTCTAGGCAAATAAAAAAAGGCAGAACAGCCCAGAAGTCTTTCGCCCTAACACTGTAAGATTTGCAACATACTAGTTCTTTATGAGGGGAGAACCCTTTTCCCAGAATGTCCCATAAACCTACTATTATAAAATGCTATCTCATTGTTACTTGGCATTTTCCTGCTGAATATCTTCACTCAACTAACTCACCATGACAGAGAGCTCTGATTCTTTCCCAAGTATCTCTAATCCTTCTATAGAAAGAAAACTGAAAATTTGTTGCCTTCAAGTTAGACAGACTCATATCTGACACATGGCCAATTAGGTCTCTGAGGCTGTAAATCTCATGAGATATTGCCCATCTTTATCCCTCAGAGTCACTGGTGGGTTCAAATACCAGAAAAGTGCAATCTTAGGGTTAGTGGTCCCAGTGGCCTACACCATCGTGCAAGGGATAAATTCACAATCCTGCCGGCGTGCCTTGTTGGGCTGCAGACCTCAGCTCCAGCTTGGAAATAGAAATAGATCTGAAAGCATCTACAAGTAACTGCGAAGATAGTGTGCAAGGACATTTCAGTTGTAAACTGATGGCCAAGATCTTGACAAAGTCATACACTGGCCTTGGGCAGATCACAGGGCCACTGGGCCTCTGCCAATAAAAAGTTCAAGCTTGATCTTCTGTTTGTGTTTTTTTTCTTAGATTTTAATGAAAGTTTAATACAGAACTTGGCTTTCCATTCATTCATTGTTGCACTTTTTCCTCCCTGCCCTCCTCTGAGTTAGCTTTTATCTTTGAAAAAAAATTCTTTCATTGTTGTACAATCCCCACCCCACCCCCTATCCACTTTACTATGCAGCTTTTATTCTGGACTGTTGCCATGCAAATAATACCTAATCATATATAGATTGTTCACAGCTTCAGTTTGCTTGACTCCACAGTCAACACTCTTGGCACCAGCAGTCAGGAAATCAAAAAGCGTATTGTGATGGGAAAGTCTGCTGTTAGGGACCTCTCTAAAGTACTCAAGAACAACGGTGTCTCTCTGGAGACTAAGGTGCGCCTGATACAGGCCATGGTATTTGCAATCGCTTGTTATGCATCAGAGAGTTGGACAATGACTAGGGAGGACAGAAGGAGAGTGGATGCTTTTGAGCTGTGGTGCTGGAGAAGAGTACTGAATGTACCATGGACTGCCAGGAAAACAAACAGATTCATCTTGGAGAGGATTAAACCAAGCTACTCCTTGGAGACAAGGATTCTGGGACTTCGTCTGACATACTTTGGACATGTTGCCAGGAGGGACGGGTCCTTGGAGAGGGACATCATGCTTGGGAGGGTGGAGGGACAGTACAGGAGGGGAAGACCCTCTATGAGATGGATTGATTCGATGACTGGGGTAATCGGGATGGGTGTATCAGAGTCAGTGCGGTTGGCGCAGGATAGAGCAGGGTTTAGGGCTGTTGTGCATAGGGTCGCTGTGAGTCACAAATGACTCGACGGCACATAACAACAACAACAACATATTTCTTTCAAGCAGTTCTATTCCTCATCTGTTTCAATGCAGTGTATATCATTTATCCCATCTTTTCTTAGTTTCTCCCCACACCCTATGTCAATCCTGTTTTATAACAGTGGCATTATGCAGTATTTGTCCTTCTGTGACTGAGATATTTCACTCGGCATAATGTCCTCCAGCGTCACCCATTTTATAGAATATTTCATGAGTTCCTTATTTTTCAATGCAGCGTAGTATTGCATTGTGTGAATATGCCACAGCTTCTCTATCCATTTGTTTGTTGATGGGCACTTGGGTTGTTTCCATCTCTTTGCTATTGTGAACAATGCAGCAATAAACATAGGTGTGCATATATCTGTTTGGGTGGCAGTTCTAGTTTCTTTAAGGTATATTCCCAGTAGTGGAATTGCTGGGCCAAGTGGTATTTCTATTTGCAACTTTCTGAGAATGAGCCATATTGCCTTTCATAATGGTTGCACCATTTTACACTCCCACCAACAGTGAATAAGTGTTCCAGTTTCTTCACAACCTCACCAGCATTTGTTGTTTGCTGCTTTGTTGAATTTTGCTATTCTAACTGGGGTGAGATGATATCTCGTAGTTATTTTGTAAGCTCGATCTTTTGCAAAGACAATGTGCACAGTCAGTGACCCCAGAAAATGTACCTGTCATCAAATTATAATATTTGTAGATTGTGTTATGGATTAACTTGGTACTCCACTCCTCCGAAAAATGTTGCAAACTTAACCTCCATGCTTTTGGTTAAAATCCCATTTGGGAATAGATTATTATGCAGAGCCAGAATTAATGTAGAGTGTGTTTTTAAACCAACTTATTTTGAGCTATAAAGAGATTAAGCAAACAATGGAAAGAACCAGAAATGGGGGAAGGCAGACACCAGCCACATGAAGATCTCACAGGCACAGACATTTAAAAGCCAAGGATCTTCCTCCAGTTGGAAAGAAGAGGCCTTTCTCTAGAGCTGGTGCCCTAAATTTGGACTTCTAGCCTCCTGAACTGTGCATAAATAAGTTGCTGTTTGTTAAAGCCACCAATTTATTATATTTCTGTTCAGAAGCATTAGATAGATAATGCAAGAGCTCACTCAAATATTTAAAGACACAAAAAGATGTATAGTGAAAAGCTGCTCCCCAATAGCAGATCCTAGAAACCCAGTTCCCCTTTTTATAAGCAACTGTTAGATTCTATATCTTATGATCTTTTCAGATTTGTTTTCCTATTTACAAACAAATACAAAAACATATCTATGTCATGTTATACTCACAGATAGAACACTGTTGTTAAGTGCTGAGGACTACTCATAGCGGCCCTACGAAGAGCCAACCTGAAACGTGCTTTATCATTAAACTGACATCATTGCTCCTTAGTATTTTGGAGAGGTCCTTGAAAGCAGACTTTCCCAATGCAGCATGTCTTTTGATTTCTTAATGGCCAGTATCAAGGCTGCGTGAAATATGTCAGTCACAGTAAGACAACTTCTGTATTATTTCATTCACATAACATGACCAAATACACAGGAACCATGAATCATTAGTAATTTCTAGAGATAGAAGGAAAGAGAAAAGGGGGAGGTTTTTGTTTAGTGGGTACTGATTTTATGCTACGTGTATGTTTATGTAATGCTTGCATCACTTGCAGACTATAATCCATGTCACTGAACTGCACATGTAGAAACTACTGGGAGATGGGGAGATCATTTGTACTTCCTTTCTGGTTTTCTTCTTTGTATCACTGCTCCTCCTTTGAAAAGCACAGAATTTTGTTCAAAGAGGAAAGCTGAAGAAGGACTGCAGAATCACCTTCTTTTCACATCTACAGAGCTCTTCAGGGAA